AAAGCTAAAAGAATTCATTACTAGCACCCCTGCATTGCAGGCAATGTTAAACGAGGTCCTTCAGGAAGAAGGAAAAAATACACACACACACACGCACACACACATACACGCACACATACACTCACACATGTGTGTTCGTGTGTGTGTTTATGTAAGTATGTGTATATATATTATTTTTATTGTCTAAATTTATTTAAAACATAATTGACTGTTTAAAGAAAATTAAAAACAATATAGTATAGACTTTTTAACATTTGTACAAGTAAAATACCTGAATAATACAAGGGCAGAAAGGGAAGAACCCTTTTATTTCTCCCTTGTAAGCATTTTAAGTTTCTATTAATCTGCATTAAATTATACAGTATACTTGAAGGTGGATTGTGATAAAGAAGCATATTATAAATTCTAAAGCAACCAATAAAATAATAAAACATACCAGTAAGAGACAAAATTGAATCATAAAAAATATTCAGTTAATCCAAAATAAATCAGAGAGTGAGAGGAAAGGGAACAAAAAACATTTGGGACAAATAGAAAACAAAGAGAAAAATGGCAGATTTAAATTCAACCAAATCAATAATAACATTAAATGTAAATGGTCTAAGCACCATAATTAAAGTCAGAGATTGTCAGATTAGATTGTAGGAAAAGCAAGACCCAATTATATGCTGCCTACAAGAAACACTTTAAATATAAAGAGACAAAAAGGTTAAAAGGAGAATAATAGAAAAGGTATATTGTGCTGATGCTAATCGAACAAATCTGGAATGGCCGTATTAATATTAGACAAAACAAATTTCAGAAAAAAAAGAATATTTCCAGGAATTAAAGGAATTAGTGGTAGAGGAATGAATACTTCCAAGAGAAATTAAAATCCTAAATGTCTGTGCATCTAATAACAGAGTTTCAAGCTGCATAAATCAAAGATAGTAAAATTTCAATAACTGAATGACAACCCCAGTTATTGTCAAAGATTTCAGTGTCTCTCCTCAAGATTTGATAAAACCGATAGACAGAAAGTCAAACAAGAGATAGAAAACTTGAGCAATACTCATCATCTGACTTTTAACCTCATTGACATGTACAGAACACAACCAGCAAACTTCATAATACACACTCTTTTCCAGTGCATATGGAATACCATGTTCTGGCATATAAAACAATTCTCCATGAATCAAAAAGGATTAAAGTTATACAAAGTTTGTGTCTGACCATAATGGAATCAAATAAGAGAATTTTTTAAAATATATCTAGAAATTCACCCTAATATTTTAGAAGCTAAATAACGTTTATAAATAACTTAACACATCAAGAAAAAAATCAAAATTGAAATTTACAAGTATTTTGAACTGAGTAAAATTAAAATTCAGTATTTCAAAATTTGTGAGATACTGCTAAAGCAGTACTGATTGAATTTTACAGCATTGAAGCCTGTCTTAGGGAAAAAAAAAAATGTAAGATCAATGAATGCAACCTACACATTGTGAAACTGGTTTAAAAAAAGAAAAGAGCAAATTAAATTCAAAGTAAGTAGAAAAAAGAATATAACAACACAGGAGCACTCAGCTTTCCTCCTGTAGAGTGTCTAGACATCTGGGTGGCCTGTCACTTTAAATAAAGAAGCCCACACCTGTGACTGTGACCAGTTCAGCTGTCCACTTCCAAGTGAGACTCTCCAGGTTGGCATCCTTCTAATCCAGATGAGTGGCTTCTGTTGCTGAAGACATTCTCATACCTACCTTACCTCTACATTTGTAACAAATAAATCCTAGGTACAAATGGGGTTATTTTAGAGAAGTAAAAATAAATAAATAAATAAATAAATAAAGTAAAAGTACAACAATAAGAATAAAAATCAATGAAGAAAATTCTGTGGAACCTTCCAAAAAAATTTAAAAAGCTATAAGAACAACTGTATAAGAACAACTAAGCAAATTAGGCATACAAAATTTATACACAAAATTTATTTATAGGGATTGAGGATGTAGCTTGGTGGTAGAGCAGTTGCCTAGTATACCCTAGGCTCTGGGTTTGAGCTCCAGAATCACACCACACACACACATACACAAACACACACACACACACACACACACACACACACACATACATGCAAATCATTGGTATTTGTATATTAGTAGAGAAAAATCAGCAATTGAAATTCAAAAGCAATACCATTTATAATGGCATCAGAAATATTAATATGTATGTATAAATCTGACAGAAGATATGCAATACCAATACACTACTACAAATCTTCTTTAAGAAAGATTAAAGATAAACTAAAGAAAGAGAAATGGGGGACTGGATTGGTGGCTTAGTAATAGAGTGCTTGCCTAGCATGTGTGAGGCATTCAGTTCGATTCTCAGCATCTCGTATAAATAAATTAAATAAAGGTCCATTGAGAACTAAAAAAATATTTTAAAAAGAAAGAGAAATGCTGTGTTCTTGGGTCAGAAGATTCAATATTGCTTAAAAGACAGCTCTTCCCAAACTGATCAGTAGATTAAGTATAGTTCTAGTAAAAATATTATTTTGTAGAAATTGACAAGCTAATTCTAAAATGCATATGGAAATGCAAAGAATCAAAAACCACTTTGAGGGCTGGGGATGTGGCTCAAGTGGTAGCGCACTTGCCTGGTATGCGTGCGGCCCGGGTTCGATCCTCACCACCACATACAAAGATAATATTAAAAAACTCTCTCTCTCTCTCTCTCTCTCTCTCTCTCTCTCTCTCTCTCTCTCTCCTCTCTCACTCTTTCTTTAAAAAAAAAAACACTTTGAAAAACAACAAATCAAGACACTGTTGATAGAGGCATGAAGATAGGCGGATACATATAGATCTACACATATATAGCCAACTGATAAAGGTGCAAAGGCAATTCAGTAAAGAGTGGTTTTAACAATGGTGTTGGAACAATTGGATATTCATAGGCAAAAGAACAAAAGAGGCTCAATTCATACTTTGTACCATATAAAAAATTAACTCAAAATTGTCAAGGACTTAAATGTAAGAACTTAAAAAAAAAGAAAAAACTAAATTTTTAGCAAAAACGATAGGAGAAGATCTTTGTGACCTTGGTTTAGGCAAAGATTTTTTTAGATATGACACTAAAAGTACAATCCATAAAAAGAAAATAATTGATAAATTGAGCCTTTTCAAATGAAAACTTTCTACTGTTTGAGAATGAAAAGACAAGCTACAGAAGACTGGGGGAAAATATTTACAAACCACATAAAGGATTTTATTTCGAATATATCCTTAAAACTCCATAATAAGTAAACAAACATCTCAATTAAAATTAGGCAAGGACTCTGAATAGACATTTTACCAAAGATACACAGATGGAAAATAAGCACATGAAAGGTGATCAATATCTTGTGTCATTAGAGAAAACAAATTAAAACCACAAAAGAAATATCATAGTGTACCTATAAGAATGGCCAAAATTAAAAGACTGGCCATGCCGAATGTTGACAAGAATGTGAAAAAAAAACAGAACTCTCATATGCTGGTAGGGAAATGTAAAATGGTACAACCACTTTAGAAATCAGTGCTGTTTCTTAGAGAGTTAAAGTTATGTACAGCATACACTCTATTCACTCTACTCATGTGTGGGTGACTTGGACATCCTGCCCAAGAGAAAGCATATGTTCATACAAAGTCTTTTATACTAATGTTTACAACGGCTTTATTTTAATAGCCCCAAACTGGAAACAACCCAAATATCCATCAGTATATTAATGGGTAAAAATGTGTATTCTATCCATGGAATAAAACATGACTCAGAAATAAAGGAACAAACTTTTGATATATTCAACAATATGGGTGAGTGTCAAAATAATTATGCTGAGTAAGAGAAGCCAGACATAAAAGAATACATACTTCATGATTCCATTTGTATATAACTCTAAAAAGTTCAAATTAATAAATATGGCCAGAAAGCTGATCAATGATTGCCAGAGATAGGGCGCTGAGAGGTACGAGGGAGGAACTATAAAGGGGCTTAAAGAGACTTCTGGCAGTGGTTAATTTATCTTCACTATCTTGATTGTAAGGATGGTTTTACAGTTGCTCACATACGTCAAGTTTCATACCATAAATGTGTGAAGCTTATTGTTAAAGCTGTTTATTTATTGTTAAAGTGTGTTTTTTTTTGAATGAGAATGAAGCCATGCCTGGATTCATAGTAGTAGTAAATATTACTGAAAAACCACATTATATAAATTAATTATGGATACCTCAAAGGATTCTTTTTAAAACAAAGACGACTTTTGTAAAAGTAATTTTCACTTTGAATACATCTTTTTCATGACTCCTATTATGATCCATTGTGTTTCCTTAAAGAGGGTGTACGTCAAGTCTGCTGACATAACGACAGCAGAGTTCCACTCGAGAGCCCATCACCACCTGCATTACGTTGGCTGTGCATTGTCTTGAAATGCAGAAGGCAGATATAATAGCTGCTATATCTATTCTTCGGGGCATATGCAGTTTAGAACACTTGTAAAATCATGTATTTTGATTAGACATTTATCCTACTTGGCACCTTAACCAAATTTCAACTTAGAGAACTTACATGTACTTCATCAAAACAGCATTACAGATACTTCATCTTAACACAAATTTCAATCAGTACTGGAATGGAAACTATTTATATGTGAAAAAGTGCTATTTCAGCTTTCTAACAAAATCAAAACTACAACTTTTAAAGTACATGTGTGTTTTAATCATGTTAAGTGTTCCTTTAAAAGATCTGGCTTTGCCACCATGGGGTAAAAAGTATGCAGTCAGTGGAAAGGTTAAAAGTCAGCCATCGACCTTGACTTTCCGGATGTGCTCCCTGACCTAATTATGCCAACCGAGTTTGAACGTGCTGATCTGCAGTACTGCTTCTTTCTGCCAGGCCCATGGGTTGGACGCAGAAACCATGATGTTCATTCTCCCTTCCCTCTTGTGACTCTCTGATAGTGGTGGTGACTCAGCCTTTCTTTCTTTCAGGGTGTGAACGGCATGTCTGTGGATGAGAAGCCTGACTCCCCCATGTATGTGTATGAGTCCACAGTCCACTGCACCAACATCCTCCTGGGCCTCAATGACCAGCGGAAAAAGGATATTCTCTGTGACGTGACTCTGATAGTGGAGAGGAAGGAGTTCCGAGCCCACCGGGCTGTGCTGGCCGCATGCAGTGAATACTTCTGGCAGGCTCTAGTTGGACAGACGAAACATGACTTGGTGGTCAGCCTGCCTGAAGAGGTATAGTAATTTGGTTTGTTTGTATAGTTGATAAAGGAGGTGGATTGACTATAATTGGCTTGGTAGGATCTAGAAGGTATAACCTGTGCCACGTGCATGTCCAAGTCACCCACATATTAGGTTTGTGGCAAAGCCAGTTTCTGTTTGATACACGTGAAATCTCAGAATCATGAGTATGAACACAGCATATTTCTTTAAAGGAACTGAACCTCACCTGGGGCTCAGTCACTTGTAGTTTCTAGTTCTCTTAAACTTCAGATTTTGACTAGTTCCACCTAAGTTTGATGCAGTCCTAGATGTGGGATCTGAATCAGTGCTACGATTTCTCTCTTTCAAATGGTTTAAGGATTGTTGAGTTGCCCTTGAGAATAAAAGAATGAAAGCATTCACAGGGCCTTCCTTGCTTGGGGAAAAAATTAAAAGCAACCAGTAATTCTCACCATTAGCATAGTGAGATTCTAAGAAGCATAAACTTGATTCTCTCACCATTTTTTGAAAATACCCTACTCAGGTTTTCTGATTAAGTCAATGAGTCCAGTCTTGTTGGTACTTTGGAGACACCAATAACTGGATCTGCTCCGTCCAGAGATGGCATTCAGTTTCAGTTGGATGGTTTGAGCTCTGAAAACTCAAAGCATGGGCTTCACAATGACAAACTATCACACTAGTCACCCTCTGAATTGGGTATACCATTCCTCTCCTTTAATCAGCCTGACTTCCCTTCAATTTTAATGGGACAAAGGGTAATACTGTCCTTAGGCTTTGTGTTCAGGCCAGAATCATTCCCTGCACACCACCAGCACAGTGTGCAACTGTAGGATCACCATCAGCCGTTGTATCTACTGCACAACTCCCAGCGGTAAAACTCAATTCATACTCTTTGCAAATACAGCCCTCTTGTTGGACCCTGTTCCACCAAGCGGCTCTTCACTGCAATCCTAGGAGAAACCAAACACACCGTCACTTACAGGTATGAGTTGCTAGTGATTATAGCTACCATCAAATTCTAGGGGTCACAAACCCAGATGCCTTCAGAGATTTTGCAAATAGTATTAATGAAAGCAGTTGTGTATAAGACAGTGGAAAGTGACAGAGAAGGCATGTGCTCCATTGATGGACATTCAGATCCAACATTTAAAAAGAAACACAGCTGGGGATATAGCACAGTGGTAGAGCACTTTCCTGCCATGGGTGAGGCCCTGAGTTCTCCTGCACTGCAAAAAAAAAAAAAAAAAAAAAGACAAGCACATAAGGTATAGAACTCCACCAGATCCCAGTCCCTTGTTAAGCAAAATCTATGGTTATCTGAGGGCAGGAGAGTGCCCAGCTGGTAAAAGTGAGAACTGCATAAGCACTCAGTATGTTCACATTCAGATATTTCTTATGTTCTCACGGTAAAATGCTCCATTACCACTCCTCATGCAACAAGTAAGTAGACAGTAGAGAGAGAGAGTAGAAATAAAAGGACAAGTCACTTGAAGACAGAGAAACTGGGGCTTGTGCAGGGAGCCCTTAGTAACGTGGACAGGCCGGAGAATGGCCATATGCGTGGGGATCCTGAGCTGGAGTTTCCTCATCTGCATGAGCAGGGCAGACTTAGCCAGTTAGTGGGGTGTTGTGGGGATTAGGAGAGATAATATAAAAGTTTTCAGCATAGTGCAGTGCCTGTCTCATAATAAGCATTTGTCAAATATAAGGCCTTTTCTTCTCTGGATGGGAACAAGAATGCCTTTCTTACTTATTCCAACTCTAGAATCTCTGGAACCATTTGGAAAACTTCCAATTGTCCAGAAAGATCTTAAGGAAGGAGGTGATGCTCACAGTTTATTTATTCTCTGTTACCTATTTGAGAACCATTTTCTATATATGTTTTTTACTGATTTTAAAAAACAATTAGATGATATGAAAATATATGTATTAATGAAAGTCATGTTTTACATAATTTAGTTTCTTTTCTGTGACTCTGTTGGCCCCATATTGAGACTCCCTAGACATTGTGACCTACACCCAGGTTAGCCCTGGGATCCTGGTCTAGTCACTGAATCTCTCTGTCAGTTATCTTGCCTTTAAGAACCTCTATAATTCTAAAGTCAAAGTACAATACTGGTGCAGTAAGATGAAAAGGAGATCAGCATATAAATGCCTATGACATAACCTTAAAGTTTCATTGTAGAACAAATCCTTAATAATTGCTTATTTCCACGGCATTGCATACTCCTATTTAAAATAAGAGGCACCCTGTGTAGATATAGCCCACAAAATCTGTTTGACCTTTTTGGTTTTATTCCAGCTAAATAAGTGTTGGCTGTGTGTTGCTTCCCAGCCTCTAAAAGGACTGTTGTCCCTACATTATCTTCGTCCTCCAAACCATGACGACATTCTGTTTGCCCCCATTCCTGCAGTCTTGACATTAACCCATAGAGCTATGGGTTGGATGTCTTCCTTTCCTTTCTTCCCTTCCATTTCCTTTTTTCCTTCCTTCTCCTCTCTCCCATCCCATACACTCTCTCTCCTTCTTTCTTAAATAAATCTCTGTTGTCAGTCATCTAGCTCTTAAGTGTCTGAATAATGGGATCTGCAAACCAGCCCCAGGAGCATTTTCCTCTGTGGGGCTATAAGTGTTTGGAGGCCTCCTTGGAAGAACCTCCTCCTCTGCTTAGCACCTGTCCATGGCCAATGCACTGAGCATGGTTTTCCTCTGCTGTATGCACACAGAGATTCCCTTGGAGGCTCAGTGAAAATTGTCACACTTTTCCCTGTGAATAACTTCATAGAATTTGAATTAATTGGCAAATAAACAAGCATCCCAAATTGCTATTTTAGAATTAACTAGCATTTGGTCCCCATGATACAAGAAAAAGCAATGAAATGGTTAACCTCACATCATCTTATCACTTAATTCTGATCAACTTCTGGCCTGCCCCCACCCATGTTCCCACTTGCCACACCTCAACTCACACCTGACAGCTAATGTTGTGTATCAGTTTGAGAGTTTTTCTTGCACTGTGAAACTTCCAAATGTAAACTGGCACCCTCCTACTCCCTAATTCAGTTTAGGCCAATCCCAGCTCATATCTAACCACTTACTGTCCAGTCCTGTACTTTTACCCTGAAATCCTCACTGTTGCTGAGAAACTCCAACAAATGTGAAACCACTCAGTGCCCAGCTTCAACCTCTAACCTGAGAGGGGGAGAGATTTAAAATAGAGGCCTCCTTCTAGAAGTCAAGGAATAATTCAATTGCTTTTGCTTTTATTTTTTCTCTTCTCTAAAATGGATTGAAAGATAGACCTGAAACTTACAGGATTTGAGTGTTGGCTCCCCATTGAAAATAAACCGGGTATGTGTCAGCAAATAGTAGGAAACCAGCCATTGTACTAAGTACTTCCATTGTATAATTAAACTAGTCATTTTAATCTACAACTAGAAATTATGTTTTGTGCTAAGAGAGAAGAGAAAGTGGTGACGTTACAAGCACCTCAAGGCCGTCCTCCCCCTGCTCCTTAGGATTAAAGTTGGCTCAGGAGACACATTCTTAGCAAAGGTCATGGAGACCATTTCACACTGGATGCCAGCCACACCAGAAGTAGCATCACTGCCATGAAGTTCCATCTCTTGGTGTGTGGAGTTGAGGTCAGAAATGGAGTGTGCTTTCTGAGAAGCTGTGCAGCCACAGAGGGTTTGTCTCCAACCCATTCTCAGGAGGCTGCTTGGCTCCTTCACAGAAGGCTAGGGAAATAGCATTTGTCAGGGGATTATTGCCAAGGGTCCGCCACCCTCTTTGTCTTATTTCCTATGTTCTTTCATCCTCTAGAAAAGAGAAAGTGTGCAGAGGATGTCTATGGGGTGGAAATAAATATGGCCCCTTAGGTACAAATATGTTTTAGACTTTTGCTCATATCCTTGCTCTCTCTTTCCAGCTTGTGATAAATCTTATTCTTTTCAGTACCAAAAAGAGAAAGAGAGAAAGCTGACCCAGAAAGCTTGGGAAGAAGAGGCCTGTGTTGTCTTCACCATAGGGTGCAATTAAGAATGTTCCTGCAGCAGTACTGCCAAGTGCGGATGCCAACAAGATTATGGAATCTTCTTGTCTGGAAGTTTTTAGAGGCTATGAAAGCTGTTAATGTCTCTGGGATGGTTTAGGTCCGGTCTTTTAAGAAAGGAGTAAGAGAGTCATGATTATCATCAGACGGTCCTTTCAATATGTAGTGCTACAGAAGCTACTTAATGCTGCAGCACAGTTTGCCAATAGCATTCTGAGCCCGGGTGTGGCTGCAGAGAAAGGTGGAGGTTTTGAAGAAAACAATGGGTGACACCTTTAGGAAGTGGCATGACCAGGGGGATACAGGTAAAACGCTCATTCACAGAGCATGCAACCAGCCCTTTGACCTCTCCATGCACCAACTAAACAGAACTCTGAGGGAGACACCACGACTCTTTACCAGGATAAGAAGGGGAATTTTTAAAAAACTAAGAGCCATCGGCCATAAGGGGATGGAAAAACCATAATCTGGGACTTGGCACCACCTGTGTGTAAGGTCTCTAGCAAATCACACAACTCCTTTGGGCTTCTGCTTCCCCACTAATTTATTTCCTCATTCATTCAACAGTTTATCACAGTCCCTCTATGTACCAGGAGGCACCATTCTGGGTTCTGGGTAAACCTCACTTACATTCCAATGGGGAGAAGGAAGACAGAAAACTAATAAATCCCAAATGTACTCAATTGCATGCCACTGAGGAAAATGAAACAATAATGGAGATTAGGAAATGTCAGGATTCAGGTATCAGGATTTTTAAATAGAGGGGTCTCAAGAGTGGCTTGTTTGCAGGGGCAACTTTTGAGGAGCATAAGGAGGTGAGGGGGCCAGCCATGCTGATATCTGGGGAAGGAGGGAGCTAGGCAGAGGAACAGCAAAGAAGGGCCAGGGGATGGAGCAGGCATGGCATATCTGAGGCAGAAGCAGAGTGAGCAAGCGGGGAATGGAAAGAGGTGTGTC